GAGAAGCTGCGAGAGTGGTGTAGGCAGCTTACCAAAGGCTCTTTTGAGTCCTTCTTCGGAGTCAATTTTTTTTTATTTTGGAATTTTTTTGTTTTCAAGACCATTTTACAGTGTTGATTGAGCCGTCGGAGTTTAAACGTGCGCCCTTTAAAAGCTGCTGTTTTAAGGTTGTTGAGCCACATGATTGTTTGTATTTATCTACAAAATATAATTTACAATAGTGTGAGGACTTGACTATTAACAGACCAGAGGCTTTTAAACAACGCTAAAGTGTGATTATGATTGGCCCGAGGGTTTCCACCGGAGGCCATCATATCACCTCTGTCACATTCACGGCCATCACAGCTAAGAATAGCCACGGAGTAGGGTGTTAAAAGCAAAATAGGGAGTCAGGGGATATGCGGCTGTAGCCAGTCAAAAGGCAGGTAGAGCGCTTCGAGACTTGCCACCAGGTAGTAGACGGTATTAAGTTAAAAGCGTGTATTCTAGGCGAGAAGACAGAGATTGGGCTTTGTCTTGACCCAAAAGCCCAACTTAGGCGCACAAGAGCATGACATACCAAAGTAATCGACAGTCGTATAAACAAATTACTACGGTAAGAAGGCGTCACGATGACTTGTCAGTGACTATTGACTGATCAAGGAACATTGAATGGTGCGGTGAAGGGCCTCAGCTTGTTTGTATCGACAAGAAGTGTTCCATCAGTCGCATTTGTCGACAGATGCCAATCATTATCTCCACCAATCCACCACAACACCTATTATGAGGGACCAAGCCTTGACTGCAGACAAGGTAGGACAATTGTAGGAGCAAGAACGGCAAGGTCAAGGTGATGCACTGTTGGAGGGGCCGCCGGCATGACCCAAAGACGATGTCGTCTAACGGTCGCACAGCAGATAAGCTTCAGAAGAGTTAAACTAAAGACATAAGTAAGTTAATAAAGCACGGCTTTGCCTTCTAAGGTCATCATCCCCCATGGTAGTTCAGAAAGCATTTGTTCTCAGTTTGCCTGAGAATAAGAGACGTTGCCTGCATCCTGATTGGCTTATTCCTAGCATTTCTACAAGACTTGGGAATTGTCCTGATCAGCAGTTGTATTTAGCAAAAGGAGAATGTTCCAACAGTCCCCTGTGTCCACTGCTAGTCGTATGAGCATTAGCCCATAGACAGGGTCATTTGATAGGCGACGGTGCTTAAAATAATGTCGTAGCATAAAGTTTAAGTCCTCGTTCCTCTCCACCACATTATTTTTGCTCCAGTACTCCTTGACCGATTATGCTTGAGTTCTACCCAATTAGAAGGGAAATGGAGGAGGAGTCACGTGTCCATGCGAGTGCCGTGGACAGCTCCAAACCGAATCTGCTAAATAGCTTGTGATCGACGTCGCTGTAATTGTTAATAGCATTCCTGTAAAACTAAGGTGGTTGCCAGAACCAGACGTCATTTTAATCCCCTGTTGGTAGTTCTCACCGAAAACCGCATCCACAGCCTATGCCTTGCCTCTGTTGAGCGAAAGTTTCACAACCAACTGTGGAATTCAGTGCGTGGGGTCCCTAGTATCGCGGTGATTTCCCGGCTGCCACCAATGTAGCGATAGGCGACTTCTCCAAAGAAAGTGCTGTACCACCAAAGCATGCGCGAGAAGAACAAAGATCGACCTCTAAGGCCTTGCACCTTCAGTCCCACTTTTTAACGGCTATACTTCCCGTTCACTCAAAATCCAGGATGATTTTATAACTTTTTATTCCCCATGATTTCGATACTTAGTCAATTCCAGAAAAAAAATACACTTTACTGCCTTAAGGGATGGGAAATAGTTTTTGATGCACCTTTGTTTATCAAAAACTTGCCAAGTATGGTTCATGGAGGATTAAGTAAGTTGGTGAGACTGTCTTTTGTAATTGCAAATAGAAACGTCGCCCTTGCAGATGCTGACATTGGCACTTAGATTGTAAAAAATGTACACTGCACCACTGAAAGCACCGCCTTACGGCCTATCCCATGGAAATTGCGCATCTAACCAAGTGCAACTTCTGAAATTTTTTGCAGCGGGCCGACTGTACAATTTGAAGACATTAAGAATGCACTGATTGTGCGTTGAATCACGGCCACGGTCAAGGTACTGCCACTCAGTGGTTTGACCCTTTGCGCCATATCAGTCGTTGATTCAACCAGTTTCATGCCAGAAGCACAAATCCTGCTTAATTTCATGCCGTCTAATCGCCTTAGAGAAGTCTCACGACGCTGCATTGTTGGCAGCCTAAATCGCATCCTATCGTAGGGGCCAAGTGTCCTTCAGTTTAGAGCTCACTGTCAAAACTAAACCGGTGACAGTGCATCCCATCAGCACCAACTTCCACGTTCTCATAATCGGAAAACCGCACTACTAAGTCAATTAAATGAGCAGACGAGACATCTTCCACTTCGTCCTAGGGAGTAATTAAATAAGCTAAATTGGCAGGAATGATGAAATCTGTCCTTCGTTATTATGGTCGTTTCTAGGCCGCTGTTCCAAAAACTAACGGTAAACAGTCCGCGAAGTTTCCTTTTCATACGATGCAGAGAGCGCAGCGGCGGTCCTCTCAGATGACTTGCTGGAGCACGAGACCCTAATAACCGGTGCGGTTGGTTTTAGCTGAGAATGATAGTTTGCTAGTGAGATCATAGTGGATGGTTTCTTAAATGGTGAGAACGAATGCATTCCACTTTGACAATTCGCTTAACTCTAGCCTTTGATAGTGGTTCAGTTAAGAGCTTCACCACTGCACGTTCCTCCGGTTACATTACTTCTGGATAAAGCCATTGACCCACCAGTCCATTAACTTGCCACTAGTGAATTTTCTGTCCTAATTGTTTTTTGCCTCACTTCTCCGGGCAAATCTCAAGTGAGACAACAGTCTTGATTATCCCAGGTAATAAAATGTACCATTTATAGGTACCGTGTAAGGTGCAAGAAGGCGATAAAAATGTTCTCTCCTATCTTGAATGGCCAACCTCATTCTCACCTCTGACTTTCCGACACCAAACCAATGTTAATCATCCCCATCTGCAGTCTTGTCTGTCTTATAAAAAATCCTATTTTGCTTCACACAGTAGAGATTTCCAGTGATTTACTACCTTGTGGTGAGGATAGCAGTTTGAACGTTTGCTTGGGTCTAGCCACGTAAATCGGCCACAAATCCAGAAGGCATATGACTTCTGGCTGCGATGACAACCAGACTAATAAACAACAAATTTTGGGTTCATCCAAAAAATTGGTTTAGATGGTCTTGGTAGGGCAAAACTGAAGGCAAAATGATGGGTACATTTTGGTTGCATTTAGCAAAATATTTACTGCAGCCCATAGCAGACGATAAATACCGCATCTCAAACTTTGTGGTCTCAAAGTTGGTCCAAATACTTTTGTAACTTTAATTACTTTTAAGAATACAACAACGTATTTTTAATTTTACTTTTTTTAACGTATAGGAGTGTGACTGACAGTGGTAATGCATGGTTGTCCTAATAATGTTACCTTTCTGAAACAACATTTAGACGGCATGTATTTCCCAATCCTTAGTGCCTTAAACAGCGTAGCTTTAAGGAAGCACAGTAGATGCTAAACTCTCCTGGTCTACAATCACTTGCACTCCATCACCTCTAAAATGAATCACTCAACAGAGGGTGCTTCCTTTTGGAGCAGGCTGATCAAGTTGTTAGGCAAAATTGAAGTTAAAACCACTGGCCATAAGGAAATCATTTATTGTATCATTACTACTGAAAAATATTAGTAAGGTTTAATATTTTAAGATTCTAGTCTTTAATTGGTTCCTTTGCATCAAGAAAATAAAGTGAGGTAATAAAGGGCTCGTATTAAAATGGTAGTAAATCGCATTGAATCATAAAAAACCTGTATATGGTCCATTAACTTTGTATACTTCCAAGTAAATATGCTGACAGATTCTTCATTACCAAGCATCTAATTGTATCGAAATAAAGTTAGAAATTGCATAATCACTTTAACAATTTAGAAAAATTTTGGAGTGGGTATTTAGAAAATGACATAAATGCGAGTGGCATTTGTGCTTGATGCATAAGGCCTTCCTATTTTAATGTCTAATTTCGGTAACTCCTTGTTATTATCAGAATAATCATGTCTGCAGCGACCAAATTATTCTGATGGCATGCCATTTGGACTGCTGTTGTTGGCTTTGCTCTTAAGGTTTCGGTAGTCGATAAGCGTTTGCTTTTTGGATAGTAATGAAGTACACTCACACCAGAACCTAGATAACATCACAATCAAAATAATCTGTGATCAGAGCAGTATGAAACGTCAAAGGTGGTGTCGATGTGATGTGAGGTTGGTAGATGCCGTAGCAACGCCGATTGTTCCTAGGGTAACACCACACACACACAAGCGCACACACGGAACGAGGCGACCTGCCAAAGCCCCGATTCATTCCGTCAGAGTTCAGCGCGCGCAATGATGTCCGAGTGTTCTACGGTCTGCCTCGCATAATTTGTGGTTTTCTCATTTTTTTTCCCTACATTAAAACATTTTGCACACTCACCCTTTGGGTTGATGCGACCTTGCATTAATGCTAACACAGGATGTTTGTGACGCAGTTCATTTGATTATGCAGTGACAACAATTAATACTATCAGCAAATAATGCCAGTCTCCCTTCTTCTAATCCTTAAAAGGGTTTACAACTTTTATATACACCGTCTAGGTTTGCACAAGTCGTACAATCTTTTCCAATCTGTGCACTTTATGGAGGAAACTACTAATTAATTGCAGACTGTTTGTAATGTGGATTGAACCGCATGTCATAATATTAGTGGCGAAAAATTGTTCATCCCTGCTCTATAGATGGAAAACAGAAGCAAATCAGTTGAGAAGAAACTGGAAGAACTGTTAGGGGAACCATCCAAGGAGAGGTCGGAGAAGAAGTTCTACTCCTCAAACGCCGATGCTAAATCCCCCGCAGGTATCGGCATGGACAGCTTCTTGATTAATGAGTCCTTGAAATGAGTCTGGCAACTTTTTGTCCATTTTAGATTCAGGTATTCAGCTTATCACATGCGAAGATCTACCCGTTCGCTTGAATGATGCGCAACAACTTTTGCACGAAACGAGAATACAATCCTTACTCAAGGTAAGTTAACATTCTTATTTTTACTATCAAGAATGAAATCGTTTGACCGCAATGCTCTATAATACACCAGTGTTAGTGGATAGGAAATAGGCCTTACCAAACCGCCCAATTCGCACAGTTTGTGTGGCTGCGTTTCCGGTGGAAAAGGCGCACTGTTAAGCTTAATTTTAATTTTATTTTTAGTAATATTGTAATGAATAAAGTAGTTGCCTTAATGTAGACCATTTTTGGTTCCAACTTTTTTCTTCGGTACGCAGAAAACCCCTTTCCAAAACTGAATGTACACGATTTTGTAAAGAAAACAGCAAGAGGGAGTCCAAACCCGGGTAAAGCACGTACCTCATTTGTGATTGGGCAGTTCAAAAAGTCCACAAATGGCTGGCTGTGCAAGTGACAAGCTTACTCAGTCCCACTCGTTACTATGCCAACCGGCGTGTGATGGTAACTGGCGTTATTCTGAGTGGACATAACAATGCGCTCACTCCGAAACCTTATCGGGTATGAGACGGTGGACGGTGGAGGGCAATCATGTGGCAAAATGGTCCTTGTTCGAGCTCGCCTAAGCAAAGAGTCGCACAACTAACCAAGACTGTGAGACATTCTAATAATCCTGCTCAAACTTCTCCAAAAGTCACATGAAGTGGTTAATTATGCAGCATCTCCAACCACGTTT